TGCTGTATATTTCAAAAGGAAGTGTTTTATACTGATCTTTGATATTTTAATTATGCAATCAAAAATTAGCAAAACTCACACACATTTACATAACTTTTGGGAAAAGTGTGAGAAGAAAGTTCTAAATAGTTGCTACATTTTTTCTTGTGAAAATTTACATATAAAGTTTACAATTTTTTCCTATATCTTTTTGTCTGGTCTATTCATTACATATTTATAATTTATAAAGGAATTTGAATTGTATTAATGAAAATATGACCCACAGTAAAGATGATATATGACAAAAGTTTTTTCATTGTAAGACATATATTTTACAGATCTTCTGGCCTTATAAACCTGGTTGTAAATACTCTTATTTTAAGTGACTATGTGTAACTTAGGCATGTTAATTATAGCAAAATATATTTTAAAAATCCTTTAGAAAACTTTTGTTCTAGGTCATAAGAAGCAATTCTGTATACAGAAAGACTGATGGAAAATAAAATATGGCACAAAGAACCAATAAAATTTTAAACTGCGTGAATGATAAAAACATCATTTAAGGATAGGTGTGTTGCTTTCATATAGTTTAATAAAGTTATCTCTTTAATAAATGAGGATTATTTTCAGTCTTTGGCAAAACTACTAAGAGAAGTTTTTCTTTTCTAAACTTCACATAACTCTCCAAAACCAGTACACTCAGTCTCAGAAAAGAACAATCTAAAAGATAAATCACAAAATGCTGTTATTCCACAAACCTACACATTTTTAAAGAGAAAAACATACAAACAGTAGTACCCCAAGAGAATTTGTTTCCAATGGTGAAATTTTAGGTTCTATGACATCTGGACCAAGAAGTTATTTTTGGGCTACAAAACCTGGCATTCATTACATTTTTCCCTGTAAGTGATTACTTAGCTATAAATATTGGCTAGCTTATGGAAGGTAACAGTATATGACTTTGTTTTTCAGGAGCAGTTCTGTAGGTCTGAAAGTGTAAAAATATTTTTAACTTTGAAAGACAATAAAATATAAATTTAAAATTCTATAATTCTTGGAAAGAGTACACAATCTCTCTCCACTCCCACTGAAGATTTCAGGCCTTTTAGATGCAATTAAGCTTGATGGAAGTTGTTGGTTAGAACAAGGGTTAAAAGCTGATCCCTAAGAAGTAAGAGCTCCCAACTTTGAGGAGAGTAAAAAGGAGTAGCACTGCCAGGAGGCGATGTAGGTGGGATTAGCCATAAAGACCAAATTGTCTTTGAAATTGGTAAACTTTGGGTACAGGAGTGGATAATTTTTTTTTATTTAGGGTCTCAAGCAGATCAGAGTATATCAGATTTCCCTGTAAATTCATCATCTGACCTGCTTTTACTTTATTCTGTAATTCTATCAAATAATTTAATTGCTCTAGTTCATTTGTTCATAAGCATTCATGGAGTATGTCCTACTTTATAGCAGCATCCGTGTGAGTATCTGGAGGAGATGGGGACACGAGGCTAAAGAGAACACTGTCCATGTCTGGGGAAAGCTAAAGATGGACAATTTTGCAGAGAGGGGAGTAGATAACAAACAGATCTACAAAACAATTAGAACTGGATGATTAAGTTCTCTACTAAAGGTATGGACAAAGTACTATGAAAACAAAGAACAAGAAAATTGAGAAACAATTAATTGAAAGAAATCAGTTAAGGCTTCATTGTAGGGGTGACATTTAGATTGTACCTTAAGGAGTAATAAAAATTTGAGCAGCTACTACAATTTTAGGAGGAATATGCCCAAGGAGAAGAAAAAGCATGTGCAGAGGTAAGGTGGCAGCAGTCAGGGAGGTAGTGACAGGAGACCAACAGGAGAAGGCCAGCCATAGGCCTCTTCTGTCATGGTGAGTTGTTTATATGTGAATTTTAGGGGTGAAAGCCCCCTGAAAGATGTTTAAAAGGGAAGTAATAAGACCAGATTTATATTTTAGAAAAAAGAACTTTGGAGTCAGGGAAGAAGACACATTTGAGAGAGGCAGAGGCGGGTCCAGTTATTTTCTGATTGTTGCTAATATTCCAAACGAGAGGATGAGGACTGGAAATAACACCATTAAGAAGAGAAGACGGGGTGGGGGTGAGTAAGGAAATATTTAGGCAATACATGAAACAAGGCATGCTGGCAACCTGACTGTGAAAGGTAAGAAAGGATGAGGGAACAAGACAGTGCTGAAATTGCTAAAGTCCATGTTGAGACAGGAAACTGAAGAGTAGAGGGCTTTATTTTCAAGAAAGTATTTTTAACAAAACTACTATGACACATAGAAAAGAGTGATTTGATTTTCTAGGAAGCTGGAGAAGACTTTGTAGAGAATAGTGAATTGAACTAGTCTTGCTAGTCTGATGAATATGCTGGGACTGATTTATAGAATGCTTATTTAAAGTAACTGGCATTGAATTAGACATTGCACATAGTATCCAGTTTATTCCTTAACACTGCCTGTGAAGCCAGTATTACTGTTGGAGTTTTTAAACTGAGGAGCTTTTGTTTCCAGGGGTTAAGTAATTTGTAAAATCTCACACACTGTAAGTAGGAAAGCAATGACAGGTCTTTCTGACATGACCACAAAGGCCGTCTCTCTCCACTGTGCTGCACTGAATCTCACAGGATGAATATGTCTCTTAGGAGTAGGAGAGCAAAAGGCTCCAAGCAAGAGGGATCAACAACTATAAACACGGTCTTGAAAAGACAGCAGAGTGTGGCATGAAATGATAAGAAAAAGAGGGACTGACTATGTAACATGTACTGTTCTAAAAGCATTGCATGTATTATCTCATCTAATTCTTACAACATTATGAGACAGCAGTATTATTGCCCACACATTATTGTCCCCATTTGCACAGCATTTTAAATAAAATGTCTGTTTACATATCTATGCATTCTTAATCCAGAATCTATGTTTTTAAACCACTATGCTATAAGGTTAAGATAATGAATGTTTTATAATAAAAATATAGTTAAGAATGGGCCACTGAATTCAATAGCTAAGAAATTACAGCAATAGGAAAAGTTCAGTACAAGAGTTAACCTTAGTATACCAAATAGCAAAGGAGTAAATGGGTAATGAAAAATTAGCGTTAGAGGATATAGATCAGTAATTTAAGAAATTGTGCAGTGAAAAGAGAAATGTGTACCTTTTTAATTGAAAATTTAAATATTGCTTAGGATACTGACAAATTCACAAAGGATCTTCAAAAATACTTGGTAATAATAGGAAAAATACTAATATCACCTAACACAGTCTAATAAGTTCATTTGGAAGGATATCCTTGAGCCCACTAAAATAAGTTAATGTCCATGGCCACATTAACTGTAACAAGTATATACTGCCTAATTGAGGGCAACTGAAAAAGAAATAAAGTAGATTGAATATGAAAAGGAAAGTCTGATAATATTTCATCAATATTGCTAGAAATCAGAATGAAAGATTTATCTTTTCAATTAAAATTTAACTTTTAAATGACAAAATTATTGCATGAAAATTATGTTTATGGATAGGTGCCATTCTGTTAAAAAGTTTTGACTTATCTGTATGAGGTTACATGGAAAAAAATAAAAGGACAATATAGTAAGATTTTCAAAAGGTTAAACTTAAAGTATTAGCTGAGATGATATTATTTCTTTTTGGTATTCAAATCTCTTCCTTTTGCAAAGTGGTAATGATAATTGATTAGATTCAAAAAATAAAAGTTTGACATCATTTCCAAAGACTTTCAGGAAATTTTAGTCATGTACAGAAATTAGAGAATAATGGACAAAGAAAACATTGAAATTTTTAGTTATTTGTAGTCTTTTAAGCAAATAGAGTTCAAGCAGATCTTGACTGTCAAAAGTTACTGATTTGGAGTTCCCATGAAATGAGAGATTTATCTATATATCTTAGTATTCATAATGTTAATATAATACATTATGAATAATCGGATGTAGTTTCTGACTGAATACACAATCTTTAAACCTACAAAAATATGATACTTATCATAAATGACAAGTTCCAAGGTAAATGACAGTAAATATTAATAGTCCAAATTCCTAAACTGTTTTGAAATGGTCTTGACTACAGATTGACCCGACCCTGGGTTATTAATCAAAATATAATTTCAGGGGTAATGGGGAAGAGGTTGAGATGACTTATTTTTTTAATAAGACATAGCAAGTAGTAAGAAACCTAGAAGTTAGCACAGCTTCATGCTGTGAAACAGAAAAAAATTGTTAAGGAAAAGGTATATATTAGAAATTGAAGGCAATTAGGTACAAGGATGATGTAGTGCTGTTAACTACACACAAGGAAGGTATTGGTAAAAAGGACAACTTCTGTTAAATTAAAGCTACCTTAGAAAAAATTCTGCTAGAATGTTCAACTTCCATAAATTACCAAGTGACTTCTTTGTCTGATAAGTTATTTGTTAACATTTTGCTAGCTGTCATAAGGACAGACTGATTATGCAGCTTTATTTAAATTTTAATAAAAATGCAAAGATCATTGAAAATAAACAAACATAATTATGCACTGTGAATAGCTGTATTGAATACTCCAGAAGAACAATACATGAAAATTAATTTCACCGTACTGGATTCTATGTACCTAGAGGTCTCAGCATGCAAGGTCACAGATGATCTCAACTCAAGCAGGATTATCGTGTAGCTAAATGAGCAAAGTTGGTAACTTGAATGTCTCTTCTCCTTGCTAATAGCTTCTACTAGCTATGAAATGATTTCAATAGCATGGCCTCCACAAAATGATGAGGATCAGCTAGTAAATAAAAATGGTTTGTCCTAAATAGTAACCATGATTCCAAGTTAATGACTTTTTGACCCCAGATACAGATATGATAAGCAGTCTAAAAAGGCTCATGTGGCTCAATCACCTTTCATCTTAAACTATTAACAGCATGGATTAAAAAAATACTATTTAGTTGCCAAAAGAAAGTGTATTTTGTTTTGCTTTGTTTCACACTTTTGAAATAACGCAAGATCATTTTACTTACTTCTGAACTTTGTCATTGGCCGCTTGGGAGGCCTCCATGGTGTGCCGAAGCTCTAATTCCATGTTTGCTCGATCTGTCAGAGCTTGCTGCAGTTGGGCAGCCAGTTCCTCATTTTGTTGCTGAGTGATGGAAACAATGTTCTCTCTATTTTTTAAAGCTTCTTCATAGGTACTAAGGGTATGGTTAAACTGATCCTTTAGATTTTCTTCTTGGGACAAAGATTTGTGTAAACTGAGAAAATAAAAAAATAAATAAGACAAGCATAAATATGTAGACTGACTGACCAGCAGTCAAGTTAATAAAAATCTCCACTTAGAAATACCCATTCCTAAAAAAGCAGTCTTGACATACTTAAATAGAGACACAAAAATAATTTTTATATCACAATATTATACTTGATAATTATTCCCTTTCTCTGTTTCTAGGCTGAAAGCTACCAAGGCAAATGATTATCTATGCAACTAAAGCATACAAAAAGATGCTGTAAGATGTTAATTTAATTACATCAGTGTAAATATTACATTCAATTTTCTTTAAAAGGAAAAGCAGAATTGGAAAATAAAGCATCGCTAGGTAAATAAAAGAATATAATAAGTTGACTGCAAGAAGTGAAAAGTAAGAGAATAGGCATCAGGTTAAGAGATCCAGGGTCTATTCAGCTGAGTACTTAATGAGGTTTGTACAAATACTGGTCAGCGCCGTATACAAAGCATTTTCCAGTTGTCACAGTTGAGATTCAAATGCCGTCAGACTGCACAGAAATAATATGTATTCGTATACATTTTCTTTTTGTTAATGAATCTTATGCCAAATATAACCACTCATTAAGTCAAAGAGAGAAAAAGCATATAAATTAAGACTAAACGAATGCAGAAGAAAATGCAGCAAATAGAATCCTAAAATGCTAAAGGTCAAATCTTTGATATGTCATTACACCTACCACCTGAGGTTATTTTGAAATGGCACCAAGCACCTCACTCAATTAAATAAAGACATTTTGAAAATATAAATATTTAATAAGGGAAATTTAAAATCCACACAGGAGATGTTCTTTTTTTATTAAATAAAATCATTTCAGTATATGCATACAAAAGAAATGTCGATGAGAGACTGGAAGTAAAACAACCTAAATATATAATACAGATTGACAATGTGAAGTAATATAATTCCTAAAGCTGCAAAAAGCTAGTCAGGGAATTTTTAGCACTGGACAGATACCTAGGCTGGTACTTTATTTAAAACTGTTCAAACTAAAGTAATTATAAATTTCTCCTTTTTATTTAAGTAACCTTAAGCTCTCCAGTATGCTTACTTTGGGGAAGGTGTCAGAAATAAGATGGATGTGAAATGGGGACAGTTACATTCCAAAAGAAAGAATTTCAAGATTCAAATTAGTGCCTGAGGAGACTGCTATTCAACCGCAGTCAATGGCTTACTACTCATGAAGTTAAGTATGGCGTGCTGTGCTACATTTGTAGCATGTAAAATGTTTATTAGTGCTTCTTTAGTGGCACTGCTTTTTGTGTCCTGTTTTAAAACCTTAGCCTGCCCCGTTTCTTTATATTTTAATTTTATATACATGATCTCATTTAAAATTCATAGTGGCCCAACTTAGTTTGGGAATTCTACACTTGCCCATGATATCTAAACAACTATTCAGTGTACCCTAATCAATTAAATATTAAACCAAATAATTTCATTTTTAAAGCCACATTATTATTAAGATAATGATATTCTGATTTAATCCCCCAATTGTTTATCACTTCCAAGTCTTCTATCATTTGGTATTTGTGTTTTAGCAAATATTTTACCGAGTTTTGATTTTTCTCTGTGACTGGGGCAATTTAGGTGAATCATCATTCACAATGCCTTGAAGAACATTAAATTCTCATTGAGACTTTCTCAAACAGAAGCAGTAGCTAGGGTAATCTTTAAAAGAGATGAATTAGATAGCGTCACTGAAAACCCCGCAGTTGCATTTCACTGCACTCAGAAATAAATCACATATTTTAACTCACTAAACCTCACAACTTATCAGAGAAGCTCTATCAATATTACTTTTCTTACTGATGAAGAAATCAAAACAAAGAGATGTAAATGATTTAATTAGTCCTCACACTTAGCAGAGTCAGAATCCAACCTACATGGTCTTTCTCTCTGGACGAGGCTAAGATACTCCTCTCCACTTTTCTGGGCTCTAAAGCCCTCTACCATCGCCTCTCTACCACTTAACCTTGTAGCCAGAAATTCAGTTTCTTAAACAAATTAACCTTTTCCTTGTTTGAGGCACTTGTTTGGAATGCCTTTCCCTCCACCCTCCAGCTGACTAACTACTACTCAAGCATTAGATTTCAGCACAGACACTGTTTTATCAGATAAGCCTTTTGTGACTCTTCAAACTAAATTTTGATGACCACTCTTGTGAATGTCTCACTGATCTGATTTTTTCCCTCTTAGAATTTATGATAATTTGCATTTTTTTCAGTTTCATCTTATGATTTACTTGACTATTCCAACATATTAATAGTCCACTTATGTAGGGCAATTTTAGATTTTGGGAAGAACACATTCCTTAAGAACAGCAATAAGGGGCCTCCCTGGTAGCGCAGCAGTTGAGCGCTGGGTTGCGAAGTTGCCCGCAGCCTCTGCTGCACCGGTTCGATCCCCGGCTGCTCCCTGGCCACCAGAGGAGGGTCCCACATGGCGTGCAGACAAACCTCTCCTGCTGCCCGCTGCTCCCCTCAGCAGTGTGCTTTGGTCCTTCTGCCTGTTCTGCTCCCCGCTCTGGCTCTGGTGAATTCTCTCACCCTCCCGCTTCTGACTATACCCAGTGCTTATATAAATAAATAAATAAATCTTAAAAAAAAAAAAAAAAGAACAGCAATAAATCACAAGGTTTAGAATTCTAAGGGAATTACAGGGAAAATGAAATACAAGAGTTATATTTTCAGTGTGTATAACTAAAACCACTCAAATACTTTTTTGTTTTAGTGCTACTTTTTCCCTCAGAATGTGCATCCCTAAATTTATAAGAGGGCTACACTACTAGCTTTCTTCATATAATCATATCTTATTTAGCCTTTTCCCCATTACTGCTTTTGAGATGCATTTTTCAGCATGACAGTAGCATTACAATTTAATGACAATGTGTGGAAAAATATGTTGTCATAATAAGAATAAATGCTAAAACTACAGCAGAAGAAGCATTAAATCAATCTCAGAAATTCCAAAACATGAATCAATATCGTGGTTCACCAGTACTGACATACGGTGGTACTTATCTCTACTGTAAAGGTAATGAAGTAACATCCTAAATACAGTTTCAATTCATTCTTCCATTTGTGACAATATATAATTCAGAATAAATAAAAATATCCAATTTAGTCTAGAAAATGAGACTTAAATTTTTTTCACAGTAATATTTCATATAATCATAATTCTAATCTACATCAAATGAGACTGCACATTATCTCCTATGCTGCTCACCACATCATCCAATAGCAGGCCAGGATGGAAAACACCCTTCCATGGGCAGTATACTAGTAAGGAGCAGACAATCCATTTCTTTTTGGCAATGGTTCTGTCTTAAGTTTGATTCCCACTCATGTGTCTGTGATCCTAATTTCCTGGTTCCTGACTTTCTGTATTGCCTCAGCTTAAAATAAAATCATCAGATATATAACCCACTTTTATGTTACGCCTGCATATATTTATGTACTCAGCATGTCTGCTTACCTACTTGCTGAATTCTCTGAATTGTATTGTCACACATGGATTCAGCTTATCCCTGCGGCTAGTACTTTTCCATTATACCAAGTTTTGTTTTGTTTTTTTTTTTTTAAAGATTTATTTGTTTATTTATACACACACTGGGTACAGTCAGAAGCGTGGGAGGGTGAGAGAATTCACCAAAGACAGAGCGGGGAACAGAACTGGCAGACTGACGAAATACACTGCTGAGGGGAGAAGCGGGTGGCAGGAGAGGTCTGTCATGCCATGTGGGACCTCCCAGATAGCCAGGGATCAAACTGGCGCTGCAGAGGCTGCGGGCAGCTTCGCAGCCCAGCGCTCACCGCTGCGCCACCAGGGGAGGCCCCATTATACCAAGTTTTGATGCTACTTTCCCTGGCTTCCTTTCTTATCTCCATGATCAGGTATTATTTAAATCCCTCCATGAAATTACTTTACTCACCATCCCAGGGTATGTGTTTACTCAAATGCTTACGCTTCACTTATTTACAGCGATTGCTCAAGCAATCATATATTCCATATATGCTGGAGTTTTGTTTTGTTGGTTTGAAACTTTGTCAGAAGATGTTTTTAAATTTTATATTTTGTTGAGGTCACATTGGTTTACAATATTGTATTGATTTAAAATCAGAGTCCCGCAGTCCATTGTGCCCCCTCGCCCACCTTTTGCTCTCCCCTTTCACCTCCTCCCTCCCTGACAGTGGTAGATCCATTTTTAATGTTTTGAGAAACTTCCATACTGTTTTCCATGGTTGTTGGACCAGTCCCTATTCCTATCAACGACGTATGATGGTTCCTTTTTCTCCAATACTTATTTCTGGTCTTTTTGATACGGGTTATTTTCATAGGTGTGAGACGGTATTTCACTGTGGCTTCACTTTGCATTTCTCTGACGATAAATGATAATGAACATTTTTTTACATGTGCCTGTTGGTGATCTGTATGTCTTTGGCAATGTACTCATTTAGTTTTTCTACTTAATTATTGATTAGGTTGTTTTCTTTTTGTTAGTTGTACGAGTTCTTTGTAGATCCTGGATATTAGTCTCTTGTCAGGTACATGATATACACATATTTTTTCCCATTCAATGGTGTCTTTAGGTTTTAATGATGATTTCTCTAACTAAAAATGGATTAAAGACTTGAATGTAAGACTTGAAACCATAAAATACATAGAAGAAAACATAGACAAAACACCCTAATACATTGGCTTAGTGATGTATTGAGGACTTGACTCCAATGGCAAGAGAAACAAAAGCAAAAATAAACAGATGGAATCACACCAAACTATGCCATTTATTTTGATTAAATATTTTTAGATTAAAATTTTAAAGCTGATGGACCACAGTATAGACCAATGGTTCTTAATCAGAAGTAATTTTGTCCCTTGGGAATGTTTTTCAATTTCTAGTTGTCATCCTGGAGGAGGGGGGTAATACTATTAGCATTTAGTAGGTAGAGGCCAGAGTTACTATTAAACAT